GGTGTGTTCTTCCCCCTGTCTCACTGACGATGAGTCTCCCCCTCTGCCCCCCCCCCATCCAGACCTGACCTGTACCGCTCCTCAGGGAAGTTTGAGCTGCTGGATCGTATTCTGCCCAAGCTCAGGGCCACCTCACACAAAGTGCTGCTTTTCTGTCAGATGACGACACTCATGACCATCATGGAGGACTACTTCGCTTACCGCAGCTTCAAGTACCTGCGTCTGGATGGTGAGACGCAGGAGAACAAAGCCGGGGCTTGTGGGCTCTCTTTGTCACGACCTGTTTTTTGACGGTTGTTGTTTCTAATCTGGTAGGAACCACAAAGGCAGAGGACCGTGGCATGCTGCTGAAGACGTTCAACGACCCGGCCTCCGAGTACTTTGTGTTCCTGCTCAGTACCAGGGCTGGAGGCCTGGGCCTCAACCTGCAGTCTGCTGATACAGTCATCATCTTTGACAGTGACTGGAACCCACACCAGGTACTGTTGGAGTCTGAGACTAGGATCACACTTTGACTACAGTTACACTGGGTGGAAAAAAACACCTCAATATACACCGTCAAGCCTGTAGTATCGCAGTGTATCGCAATACATCGTATCGTTGCCCCTGTATCGTAATACGTATCGTATCGTCAGATTCACGCCGATACACAGCCCTAGTATTTGTATTTCTTATATATATGATGGACACTGGGGGGTCCGGGGGGGGGGTAGGGACAAAACTATTTATAAATATATATCTTGTCGTACTGCAGTTTATCCTGTGGTTGCCTCTGTATTGTGATACGTTTCCACACATTCTTGCCAACACACAGCCCTAGTGATCATTCAGTCCAAACCTGTCTTGTGCTCGTCTTCCTCCAGGACCTGCAGGCCCAGGACAGGGCCCACAGAATCGGGCAGCAGAACGAGGTGCGCGTGCTGCGCCTCTGTACCGTCAACAGCGTGGAGGAGAAGATCCTGGCCGCAGCCAAGTACAAACTGAACGTGGACCAGAAGGTCATCCAGGCCGGCATGTTCGACCAGAAGTCCTCGGGCTGCGAGCGCCGGGCCTTCTTACAGGCCATTCTGGAGCACGAGGAGCAGGATGAGGTCGGGGTTCAAGGAGGTCGATGTGCTGGTGGGAAGTGGGTGGGTGTGATCTGGACCTGTTCACACACTGCTCACCCACCCTCTTCCCCCCCGTGCACTTTGCCACCTCTTTTTGTTTTTTCCTCCTCCTTCTTCCCTGTTTTTTGGGACTTGAACTTCAGTCCAAGCTTCTCCTTTTCCTCTAATGTATTTAGGTTAATATGACACTTTCCTTCTTTTTTAGACTTCCTCCTGTTCTTTTCTTATGCTGTTCACTGAAAACTGTGTGTTCTTTCATTGATGACTTGAACTTGTTACAAGCCTACAGCATACTGAAAGAATGTTTCCATCACTAGAGCGGTCGTCGCCTCGACTCTACTCACCGAGATGATCTTTCTCATCTGCAGGAGGAAGATGAAGTCCCGGATGATGAGACTGTCAATCAGATGATTGCCAGAAGTGAGGAGGAGTTCGAGCTCTTCATGGTCCGTGTCACCTCCTTTTAACCACACCTTCACATTTATTTGCAGTTCAAGTCAGTTTAACCGTTTCCACAGCGAATGGATCTGGATCGACGCCGAGAAGATGCTCGCAACCCGAAGAGGAAGCCCCGCCTCATGGAGGAAGACGACATGCCCAGCTGGATCCTGAAAGACGACGCAGAGGTGGAGCGACTGACGTGTGAGGAAGAGGAGGAAAAGATGTTTGGCAGAGGATCCCGTCAACGGAAGGAGGTGGACTACAGCGACTCGCTGACGGAGAAGCAGTGGCTGAAGGTGAGGCGCTGGGAGTCTGTATGAGGAGCACTGGGCTGGGAGCAGGTCTGACCACGGCTCTCTGTTCTCTCCAGGCCATCGAGGAAGGAAACCTGGAAGACATCGAAGAGGAAGTCCGTCACAAAAAAACTACCAGGAAACGCAAGAGAGACCGCGACCACGACGGACCCACCACGCCCAGCTCCAGCAGCGGCCGAGGTCGAGACAAGGACGAAGAGGTGAAGAAGGCGAAGAAACGCGGACGCCCCCCCGCCGAGAAACTGTCCCCTAATCCACTGTCCCTCACCAAGAAGATGAAGAAGATCGTAGATGCTGTCATCAAATATAAGGACGGGTGAGGACAGGCACGACTTCAAGTTGTAGCTACCAATCAGAGAGCTCGCTGACACTCCCGCCCCCACCGCCCCTCTCTCTCTCTCCCTCTGGAGGAACGGGCGACAAATCCGTGAAGTCTTCCCTGTAAATTTCCTGGCAGTGTATTTTGTAGGCCCAGGCCCTGAAACTAAAACTCTAAACCCAGCAGAGGTTCACCATCTGTGGGACCTCGACTCTGCTGCTGTGCCAAGAACTTAAGAGGATCTGATTCCATCCTCTTCATCTCCACCAGCACCACTACCCACCGGTGCCTGCCTGCAAACCCACTCTCCGTTCCTAAAACCTCCACACCCCCATTAGTACAGTTTTATTAGATTTCCCTCTTGCCCAGAGAGGCAGTAACCCCCGCTCCCCCCTCGTCTCCATTCTCCTCTCTCCTTCTCCCTTTCTCTCCCACACACACACCTCCCTCCCTCTGCCTGCCAAGAGCTGGGGACTGTTAAACTGATTTCCTCAGGGAACAGCAAAGCAGGCGGTCTGATGGGAACACTCTCCACCGTAATGCCGCCCCTCTCTCTCTCTCTCTCTCTGCAGGAACGGACGACAACTCAGTGAAGTCTTCATTCAGCTGCCTTCCCGTAAAGAGCTGCCGGAGTATTACGAGCTGATCCGTAAACCTGTGGACTTCAGGAAGATCAAGGTCTGAACGCCAGCCTCCTCTCTGTGTGTGTGTCTGTGTGTGTGTGTGTGTCTTTGTCTACACTGTTTGACTGTTTCTTCTCCTCCTCCTCCTCCTCCTTCTCCTCTCTGACCACCACCCGAGGATCAGGAGCCACAAGTACCGCAGCCTGAACGACCTGGAGAAGGACGTCATGCTGCTGTGTCAGAACGCACAGACCTTTAACCTGGAGGGGTCGCTGGTGAGTTCATTCAGTGAAGAGTCCACTTGAAGCTGCGTTCATTTGCTGGACTTTTCTAAGACAGAAATTAAAGGACGACTGAATGGATTTGACTGATACTTCAGTCAAATACTGGGAAAAAAAACCCCGAAAATATCAGACAAACAAATGAGCCAATCAGAGCCGTGTTTGTTGGTCAGTAGGCGGGACAGAGATGCAGTCATAACAAACGGGTGTCTGGTTTCAGAATTGACCAGAACCAGTGTAAAACCATGAGTGGAAATCGTCTGGTCCCGGTGTAACTACATGTGCAGATGAACTTTGACCTCCAGAAATGATTTGTTTTTGTTCTGTCTTCGTCAGATCTACGAGGACTCCATCGTGCTGCAGTCCGTCTTCACCAGCGTGAGGCAGAAGATCGAGAAGGAGGACGAGAGTGAAGGGGAGGAGAGCGAGGAAGAGGAGGAGGAGGCAGACGAAGGCTCAGAGTCTGAATGTGAGAATGCTTCATCGATGGAACCGATCCACAGAAACAAACAGTACCAGGACCGTAACCTTTGTTTCTCCGCAGCTCGTTCGGTCAAAGTGAAAATTAAGCTGAGCCGGAAAGAAAAAGGGGATCGGGGAGGAAAAGGTCAGCGCAGGAGGGGCCGCGGGGCCCGGGCCAAACCTGTGGTGAGCGACGACGACAGCGAGGAGGAGCAGGAGGAGGTAGGAGACGCTGGGCTCTGACATCAGCGCTGGTTCTGATCAGTCTGGGTTCTTGACTCGGTGGAACCATCACTGTCTGCACCAGGAGCAGTAACAGAACCTTCTTTGTTGTCGTTGTTCCAGGAACGTTCGGCCAGCGGCAGCGATGACGACTGAAGTATCAGACCAGCGCCCCCCTGAGGCCCGACCTGGACTTATATATTCTGTTAGAAAGAGCAGGAGACAGTCGGTGGAGAACAGACTAGTTTTACTTAGAAGAGCGGACGTTTAGTCGACCACTTATATCCTCATCAAATGACATTCATTGAAACCAATAAAGAAATAATCCCACCCCTCACTTCCATATTTAAACCACCCCACCTCCCCCCACGACTAGTGTCTCTTTGCCGATTCTTTTCACCTGGTCAGTGGACAAAGTGACCGCTGGTCATCATGACAGACACATGGTTTTTTTTAACGCTATTACATTTTTCTTTTGTCCTTCATTTACAGACAGAGTGTACATGTGAACCGGTAGTCACCCCTGACCCCCCCCACTCCCCCCCCCCAGGTCTGTCTTCGAGTGCATGTGGTGCGTGTCTGTGGAAATACATGTGGGCGTGTCTCGACGCCGTCTGTGTTTAATTTAAGACTAGGGATCACGGTACATCCCACACTGCACCCCCCCCCGTCTCTGTGAAGTGGGGTAGGGGGGCGGGGACCATTTTTCTCCTGTCGGTGTCACTGGATTCCAAAACATACAATAAAGACATCTCATGATTGTTGTGCTGTCGGACGTCGATGTTTGTTCATAAATCATCTGGACCGAGACTTTACTGTGGGCCACAGTGACTTTAACTTTTTGATTGACTTTTAAATAATGTCAGATATTTAGAATGTGGACTAAAGACTGCGGTCTTCTACACCAGAGACAAAAACTAACACTAATATTAGACCTGAGTGTTGCACTAACTAGATATGAACACTAGGTGTCCTCGTACGATAAGTTTCCAACCTGTCGTTCCTTATCTGACGTCATTTTAATCATGAGTTCCATGAGCCCAGAGAACTGTTTCTTGTCTCTGTTGTGACACGTGTTGGTGGTGGATTCATGACTCAGGCTGCCCCCCCCCCCCCAACACCTGGAGCAGATGATTGACGGCTCACCACTTAAATATTCAGCTGCAGAGATCTTTCTGTCTTTGTCTCCTGCTGCACATGCGCCCCCGCCCACGCGTCCCCTGATTGGCCCATCAGTGTTTGGTCGACGAAGCCAGAACTGCATCCAGGAAAACCTGATCTGACCTCCGGTGGAGAGGGTTGGAGTGAAGAGAGAGTTACTGGAAGAACCAGAAAGGGTTGGCAACGGGTGAGGAGGGAGGAGTGGTAGTAGAGGGGCGTGTCGTGGGGGCTGGTGAATGAAGAAGGAAGGGTATCCTCATCTGCACTCTCCTCTGTCAGAAGGAAAAGCACTCGCAGCTGCGCCGCAGTTTGACCCACATCAGTTCAAACAAAACAGAAAAGCTGTGTGAAATAATCTGTGCTGTGAGTAATCAGATTACATCTGTTAATCAGATTACAACAGCCGGAGCCCCCCCCCCACTGACCGATCAGAGAGTGTTTTCACTAATATTTTCAGTCCACGCCAAGGAGTTCATCACTGGGTTCAAGGTCGTTGTGTTTAAACGTTAGTTTTTATCTTCACTTCTGTCAGTGTGGATCATAAACGTCACATGGACTCAACGCCGCCCTCACTTTGAACCTGGATAAAAATACACCTTTACTCCTGTTTGTATTTTCAAATGGGTGAGGGCCTGAGGGGAGGGGGGGAGGAGGGGAGGTGGAGTGATAGGAATGAAAAGTCAGTTCTCCGTCCAGTTGGACGTTGGCTGGACTCACGTGTCTCCCTGACAGGAAGCAGTTACTGGAAGGTTCTTCACTGACCAGGTCTTTGTCCACATCCAGGTCATGACCTCCACCTGACTCAAACTGTGTTGGTGAACCTTGAACCCTCCTTGAAGGTCCTTGGAAATGGCCTGGCACGTCTTCAACTTCATGTTGATTTAAAGTAAAAATACATTATATATATATATAAATATATATATTATATTTCAGAATTAAATTCAAACCTGTTTTTTTAGAATAATTGAAAAATTTCAAAGTTTCTGATCGATGTTTTTTGTTTGTTTGTTTGTTTGTTTTTTTTCATAGATTTTAACCAGAAGTCATTTTCTCCCAACCTCAGGTTTCTGACCCAGAGAAACTGATAACCAGGTCTGCTGGATTCCTGGCTACGCCCCTGTCAGGCATGTATCAGGGTGAGTCAAGGCGGGGGACTGGGCCGGGCTGGGGGACAGGGGGGAGTCAAGTGTTGGACTGAAGAGAATAAAAACTGAGTTCAAATCGACTGCACGTGCAGGGCCTTCGTACTGAAAGGGTTAACGACGTCTCCACGAAGCCCCGCCCCCTGATTGTTGAGGCTGCTGTACCTCACAAATCACACCACTCCAGGTCCCGCCTCCCCCTGGGCCCCTCGGCCCCGCCCACTCTGGACCACATTGAAATGAGCTCCGATGTTGTCAAACATTACAGTGTGTGGAGCAGAGCAGAGCACGAGCATCACCGACGGATCTACGAGCACGAGCGCGAGCACGAGCGCCATCTACAGCAGCAGTAACAGCAGCAGCAGTAACAGCAGCAGCAGTATTCTTTTACACCGACACTGCCAGAACACACACACACACACACACACACCGGAGAGCGGACAGATCTGTGCGTAAAATCCATGGACCGGCCGTGTTACGCGCCTCTCCTCCTCCTCCTCCTCCTCCTCCTCTTCCTCTTCTCCTTCTTCCAGACAAGTAAGTTGAAATTCAATTTTATCAAAAACCCAAACACGGTCGTTCCTTCTTCCTGCTCCAAATCTGCAGATTTTTAAAATGTAGCAACACACGTGGTCAGGAATATGTGTGTGTGTGTGTGTGTGTGCGTGTGTGTTTAAATTGGCTGCTCTGTTGATGTCAAGTGAGGAGGGGGAGGGATGGGGGACGGTGGGCTCAAATGTAGGTCAAATCCCCTGCCTCTAATTTGACTGGAAATGTTTCTAATGGAAATGTTACTGTAATCTAATCTGATATAATCTGACCTAATCTGATCTGATATAATATAATCTGATTTAATCTGATATAATCTAATATAATCTGATATAATCTGATGTAATCTGATTTAATCTGATATAATCTAATATAATCTGATATAATCTGATGTAATCTGATTTAATCTGATATAATCTGATCTGATGTAATCTTTTTTTTACGTATTCTTTTTTCGTCTCTTTTCTTTCTTTTTTTGAATGAATCATGTTTATTTTTCCTGGCTTTCACCAGCAGCCAATCAGCTGAGAGGAGGCGGAGGTGAG